AGTCTCCATGTTCGTTGCACTCATCTTGAACCCTGAACCTCAAAAGGATTTAAAGATACAAAAGTATTAGACTACATTCTATCATTCCTTCTTCCCATGCAACATTATTATCTTAGACTACCTCAGCATATCAATATTTTTTTGTATAGAACCAATAGATTTTCGTCAACCTACTTAGAATGCCATTGTTAGGACTCTTATAGCCAACATGTTCTATGCAATTTTGCTTATTTACTTATATAAAAAAAATAGTAGTTCATATAAGTGTCAATAATTCTAGTAAGATGAGCAATCAATTCGTATTTTGATTGTTACTTCTCTCATCCGACAATATATAAGGCTCCGAATGGAGAAAGCGTATCGGGCGGAGCGGATCAAGCGGATCAGGCGTACAAAGCAGAACAAAAGCGGATCAAGCAGATCTAGCGGTACAAATGCGGATCAAGCGGTTCGATTATAATGACATACTTATAATACATACATAAATCCATATAATTTATTGTTTATTTGTGAAATAAAATAATATACATAAATGATATTAGTAAAACTATAAATGATGTGTTTTATACTGATTACTAAAATATTTATGAATATATTACACATTACAAGTTATTAGTTAGCGTACAAATATTAATGTAATAACTTAAAACCATGAAAACAATAATAAAAAATAATAATAAATATCTTGGTGTATTTATTAGAATAAATTGATTTTTAGTTTTGGTATACTTATGTTAATAGGAAAAATAAAAAATTATTATGAACAAATAAATCATTAATAAATAATACTATAATTAAAAGATGTGGGTGATCTGTTTGGAACACACCTATACACGAGCGTTCCTTTGATCTGCTTGTGTGCAAGAATTTTGTTCACGTATTTGATCTGCTTGTGGTTCACATTTAATTTTATTACTACTTTAATAATGATCTGCTTTTATAATAAAAACTGTTGAATGGTAACTTTAAAAGCAGTCCAAAAAAAGAAGCAGTTGCTCCACTCGGCCCGCTTACACCATTCAAGGCCTAAGTTGATGATACATATATGGTCACTAGTTTCGTCTAACTCTCCATGAAAAAAATAAAAATTTCAATATTTTCCAAGTGCTTATACAAACACCATTGATATCAATTCTTATTGGTAAACCAAGTTATGATGAAAGAGAGACAAGACTCGCTCTACGAAACCAAACAACATCACCACAGTTCTATTGGTTGCCTATGACGAATTTGGTCCCCATATACCTTTTGCTGAAAACAAAAGTCGTAGCTATTTATCGAATGTCTCTAAAAAACAATGCCACATTTTGCCGATGGGATTAGAATAAGCGCATCTTGAACTTTTGTAATCGTTATTTCGAGATGGTGCACACGACAACACCTAGTACGCCTAAAAACTATATTATACCTTAAAATACCAAAGTCCATGTTCCCGATCACCAACAACATCAAAGAGTCGGCTCACATGTAGCAATTTGGCCTACGACAAGTAAGTTGATATTTCTTATATTTTCAAATTATTCTAATGCTAAGTTGCTAACGACTGCTTTTACTTTATAATAAAATAGAAATAAGTTTCCACAATCATTGATAAATTTACCTAATGCCGATTTGTATTGTGTGTATGTGTATTTTTTACATATTGTCTTGGTAATGATACATTTAATCATGTGTGAAGGTGGTTGCTGGTGTGGGTAGGTTTCATAATCTGCTAGAATAGTTAGCAGGTCACCTTCATTAACCAAATTCAAGTCTTCTTATTGATTTAAATCTTTTATTTTTTAATACTTTTTCATAATTATTCGTATGCTCCACACAAACTCATTTCTACTTTGCTACGTTTACAAGTTTCATCTAATCTACCTAAATTAACAAAAAAAAAAAATTGTTTTCCTTAGATTTATCGTAATCGGACGTTATTATTTCCATTAAAATTTGTTCTTTTACCTTTATAAGTGTTGACTTTGATATTTCATATTTGATTAATAACACTAATGTAAGAAGAAGAGGAAATCTCAACCGTTGATTAAATCAAACGAGACACTAAAAAGATCCAACGGCCATAAATCGTCCAATTGCCATGTTTCTTCCCACTCTCTTCTCCTTCATATAAGAAATTTCACTCTACGAAGAAGACAAAGACGAAATCGAGCTAATCCATGGCGAAAGTTCGGATTTTGATCTTCACCCTTTTCGTCTTCTTCTTCCTTAATGTCAATATCCATGGATTTTACCTTCCCGGCGTCGCTCCTCAAGATTTCCAAATGGTTAGTCACAAAATCACCTCTGTATCTGTATCTGTCTTCTCTCTTGTGTCTTTCACAAATGCAGCTTCTTATTAGAGCTTTGATTCACAATGGGTTTAGATCCGACGCAATTGATCAAGAAATTTTGTTAAAACTGGATCTATGGCTCTGTTTTATGAGATTTGGGTTTAAAGAGAATGTTTCATTAGTATATATGTATTAGACATTGTTTAAACTTGTTGCTGTGTGAATCTAGCTATTGGAGGTATAAAAATTGGAGTAGAAGAATGTATGATTTTGATAATCTATAAAGGTTTAAACTTTGGAGTTATGGTTTTGTTTTTCAGGGTGATGCATTGATGGTGAAAGTTAATAAATTGACATCTACAAAGACTCAACTTCCATATTCCTACTATTCTCTTCCTTATTGTCGTCCTGAACATATTGTTGATAGTGCTGAGAATCTCGGTGAAGTTCTTCGTGGTGATCGAATTGAGAACTCTCCCTTTGTGGTATGTTCTTGTTTCTTCTTGGTTCTTTCTCTATATGTGTGTCTTGTTTATATGGTGGTTGATGAGATATTTATGTCTGTTTGATTCTTTGTTGCAGTTTAAAATGAGGGAGTCGCAGATGTGCGCTGCGGTTTGTCGTGTGAAGCTTGATAAGAAAACCGCCAAGGCGTTAAAGGAGAAGATTGCTGATGAATATCGGGTCAACATGTGAGAAGATTGGTTTTGTGGCTATTGGTTGACTGTGTTTTTTTTCTTCTTCTGGTTTATGTGGAAGATTGATTTCTTATGCAGGATTTTGGACAACCTTCCACTAGTTGTTCCGGTGCAAAGGCCAGATCAGGACAATGTTGTAGTGTATCAGCATGGTTTCCATGTTGGTCTCAAGGGAATCTTTGCTGGTGTAAGAGCTCATTATTACATTTTCTGTATATGTTAATGTTTCAATGGGAGGAGTTCTTATTTATTTCATTTTGCTGTAGAAAAAGGAGGAAAAGTATTTTATCCACAACCACTTGACCTTCACTGTTAGGTATCACAGAGATATACAGACTGATTCTTCAAGAATCGTCGGCTTTGAAGTCAAGCCGTTCAGGTAGCTTTTTTGTGATTCAAGGACCTTGACCTGTATTGTGTAGACTAACATATACTGGTTTTATTTCAATGCAGTGTCAAGCATGAATATGAAGGTCAATGGAATGAAAAGGCTCGGTTAACGACATGTGATCCACATACAAAGCGTGCAGTCACTAACTCTGAGTCTCCTCAGGAGGTCGAAGAAGGGAACGAGATTATATTCACATATGATGTTGATTTCCAGGAGAGTGAGGTGAAATGGGCGTCTAGGTGGGACACTTACCTTTTGATGGCTGATGATCAGATTCATTGGTTCTCAATCGTTAATTCCATGATGATTGTTCTTTTTCTCTCTGGTATGGTTGCAATGATCATGCTAAGAACACTCTACCGAGATATTTCCAACTACAATCAGTTAGAGACTCATGAAGAGGCCCTCGAAGAGACGGGTTGGAAATTGGTACACGGAGATGTTTTCAGATCGCCAACAAACCCGGAGTTGCTCTGTGTCTACGCAGGCACTGGAGTTCAATGCTTTGGAATGATTCTTGTCACCATGATCTTCGCGTGTCTTGGCTTTTTATCTCCTTCAAACCGTGGTGGTCTTATGACGGCTATGCTTTTGCTTTGGGTATTCATGGGACTATTGGCAGGATACGTGTCTTCACGCCTCTACAAATCTTTACGAGGAACCGAATGGAAGAAAATCGCTCTGAAAACCGCATTCATGTTTCCCGCTACCATCTTTGTCGCCTTCTTTGTTCTGAATGCCATAATCTGGGGACAAAAATCATCTGGGGCTGTTCCATTTGGTACAATGTTTGCTTTGGTTGTCCTCTGGTTTGGTATCTCTGTTCCACTTGTCTTCATCGGTGGCTACATTGGTTTCAGAAAACTTGCACCAGAAGATCCAGTGAAAACCAACAAGATTCCGAGGCAGATCCCAATACAGGCCTGGTACATGAACCCAATCTTCTCCATTTTGATTGGAGGCATTCTCCCATTCGGCGCAGTCTTCATCGAGCTCTTCTTCATACTCACCTCGATATGGCTACACCAATTCTACTACATATTCGGGTTTCTCTTCATTGTCTTCATCATATTGATCATAACTTGCGCAGAGATCACAGTCGTCCTCTGTTATTTTCAGCTCTGTAGTGAAGACTATCAATGGTGGTGGAGATCTTACTTAACATCAGGCTCTTCAGCGGTTTACCTCTTTCTTTACGCAGTCTTTTACTTCTACACCAAACTCGAGATCACAAAGCTCGTCTCTGCAGTGCTCTATTTTGGGTACATGCTCATAGTTTCATACGTTTTCTTCGTCTTTACTGGTGCAATTGGTTTCTACGCATGCTTTTGGTTCACCAGGCTTATCTACTCTTCAGTTAAAATTGATTGATCTTTAATCACCTTCTTAGTAAGCTGTATCTTAAATCTTGTTCTTCCGAAAAATTTCGTTTCGTTCTTTTTTGTTTCCTCCTTTTAAATTTTGTGATGATTTTGAGATATGTAGACATAAACTCCATTTTATTGTAAACATACATAGATCTCAAGAGTACAACAACTCTCTCATAAGAACAGCAACTTTTATGAGTCTCAGTTTTATTTCGGCTTACGGTGCAATGCTAGAGCAGTTTTTCCTCCTTCACCGCAAAGCTTTCCAAAGAGATGGAGGAGAAGCTTAGCTTGATCCGGCTGTTTTATGAGCCAGGTGTCGGAATGGATGCTGGTTATGTCATACCTTCACAGGATGTCTTACTTACATTTATGTGAGGGTATTATAACACATTGGGATAGTATTAATGTTTGTAGAATAGTCAAAAAGATAATCGACAAGGTCAAGTCAATAGAGTGTGATGGATAAAATCATGAGGTGGGAGTAATGAGTTAATGGCACAGTTGACGACAGGATGAGTGGAAGACCCACGAGTTGACGCAAAGTCAAGAGCTCAACAATTGATTTTATTTTTGGGTCTTTTTAAAGAGATTTCAGAAGCCATAATTATAACCTATCACAAACTTAAGAAAAAAAAAAAAAAGTAATGGTAATACCAAGCCAGTCTTATTCATTTTCTGGTATTGTTGTTACCTTGTATTTCTTCTTCTTGTTTTCCTTTGTTCTACACATTCTTGCTTCTCCTACGCTCAACCGTTGCCGCCATGATCAGAGGGATGCTCTTTTGGAGTTCAAACACGAGTTTCGGGGAACAATGAACTCCGAGATATTTAATCATATGAGTATATGGAACAAGAGCACTGATTGCTGTTCTTGGGAGGCTGTCACGTGCGATGCTAAATATGGCCAGGTGATTTCACTTTACCTTCATGACGACCCTCTCAACAACACTTTGAAACCAAATAGTGGTCTTTTCAAACTCCGATATCTTCAAAACCTATCCCTTTTAAATTGCAAGCTTTATGGAGAGATTCCTTCTTCATTTGGGAATCTTTCCCATCTCACGACGCTTGACCTTTCAAATAATGAATTAGTTGGTCAAGTTCCAGCTTCAATTGGAAACTTAACCCAACTAAGGTACCTGGTCCTTGCCCATAACAACTTAAGTGGAAAAATTTCTGTTTCATTTGCCAACTTAACGAAGTTGATCCAACTCGATCTCAGTTATAACTACTTTGAACCCGAGTTTATACCCGACATGAGCCGATTCCACAACTTGGAGTATTTTGATGTGAGCCTAAACTTATTTTTCGGGCCTTTTCCTTCGTTACAAATGGTTTATTTGTGGAGAAATAACTTCACGGGACCTATAAATTTTGGGAATACATCGTCATCGTCTAATCTTAGTGGTCTAGACCTTTCTGGTAACAAATTCGATGGTCCAATACCGGAATCCATATCTAAATTTCTCAAACTCGAAAGTCTAGATATTAGTAACAACTCGTTTTCCGGGCGTTTCCCAACATCCTTGTTCAAGATCCCTTCGTTACAATGGGACCTATAGATTTTGGGAATACATCGTCATCGTCTAATCTTAGTGGTCTCAGCCTTGCCGATAACAAATTTGTTGGCCAAATCCCAGAATTCATATCAAAATTTCTCAATCTGGGAGAGTTAGATCTTCCCAACAATAAGTTGGAAGGAAAAGTACCAGGTTGCTTATTGAGATTGAGAATGCTGAAACTTTCTCACAACTCTTTTAGTGGCTTTGGAAAATCGTCAGAAGTTCTGGATCAACCACAAATGAATGCGTTGCAGCTTGATTCGAATTCATTCCGAGGACCATTTCCCCATTGGATCTGCGAGATTATATCGCTAAAGATCTTAGATTTGTCCAACAATAGCTTCAATGGCTCAATTCCTCCATGTTTAGGGAATATCGCTTATTCTCTTCAAGTGCTTAATCTGGGAAACAACAATTTCAGTGGGATTCTTCCAGATGTGTTTCTCAATGCTGCCAATTTAAACGCACTTGATGTTAGCCGCAACCGGTTGGAAGGAAAACTCCCAAAAACCTTGATCAATTGTACGTACATGGAATTTTTGAATGTGGAAGGAAACCAATTCAAGGACAAGTTTCCATCTTGGTTGGGTTCTATGCCATTTTTAAATGTCCTCATCCTCCGATCCAACCAATTCTATGGGCCAATTTATCAAGACCAAGTCTACATTTGGTTTCAATACTTAGAAGTTATTGATGTCTCACATAATGACTTCACTGGAACTTTCCCAGCTTTCGATTTTTCCAGCTGGCATCAAATGACTACATTAAACCCAGAAAATGATGGTGCTATATATATATGGGATATTCCATCTTCTTGAATGATCACAATTTCCAGAATACTTTCAGTCCTTACATTAGTTCAATGGAAATAGTGCACAAAGGTGTAGATACAGAGTTCGAGAAGATCCGAACAGACTTCACAGCCATTGACTTTTCACGAAACAGGTTTTATGGAAAGATCCCTGAATCCATTGGCTTGTTGAAGGGGTTACGTTTTCTCAACTTGTCGAATAATGCTTTCACAAGCAATATACCTCGATCATTGGCAAATATGACGAATCTTGAGACATTAGATTTATCCCGGAATCAGCTGTCAGGTCAGATTCCCCGATATCTTGAAGGTCCAATACCACGCGGCGCACAGTTTCAAAGCCAAAATTGTTCTTCATTCATGGATAACCCCAAGCTTTATGGTCTTGATGATATTTGCAGAATAACTCATGTCCCAAATCCTAGGCTGTGGATGTCGGAATCACACACTCAAGTATTTGTTTGTTTTGTGAGAACGAATATTCTTGAATATAGAAATTGATACGACAAAGCTATGAATTGAGAAAAAGGCTATAGTATTATTCTTAGAAAGAATTGCGTGTCTGTTACATGACCTCTGCCCCTTCTATTTATACTAGCAATCGACATTTAATTAATAATGGAATACAATTATTTTCTCTTAAATGTGTCCGTTTCAATCTTCGAGTTTAATGCTCAAACGTTCGAATTTAAACTAATTCCGATCTTCACGGGCCTCGCCCAATTAATCTCGAGATGAACCACCCGCGACTTCAACTCCGTCCTCATCCCGAGATGTAGCCACTTCGGTCTTCCTTCGTGGCATATGCACTTCGACCATACCTTTGGCTTGTGGGTCTAATGGGCCTTACCCCTCGTGGGCTTTCCTCCTGCCTACGTGGCAATCTTTGGTTGGTCCCAAACTATCCGTGCGGGATCCGACACTAACAATTAGCCCCCCAAGTCTTTCGAAGTGCCATTCCAATTCGGAAGACTTTTTATGCTTTGATGACCAAAGATTGCGCTTGAGAATCCTCTGATTTTCCCGCCAAGATCTCATCAGTCCTTTAATCTCGGTGCTATCCATATTTACCCGTGTGACATCTGTCACCATCATGACCGTATCTTAATTATTTACTATTAAAGCGGGAAAACTTTTCTACTTCCCCCACGACTCCCAAGGCGGTTCCATCATTACCACTTAGCTTGCGTGAGGTAATATTACTTTTACTCTTTTCTTTTTTGGTTAGAAACTTTCTCTGCTTTCTTCGTCAAGCTTTCTCTTTCCCGAAACTTGAATTTATCATTCCTCCCAATGACTTCCGATTCCGATAGACCTGAATCTCCGTCCTTCGACGAGAGGCGTTCTAGTAATGATGAATGCACTCGCCCTAACGACATCGCTGGGCCGCACTACAGATCCACCTGTACTCTTCAATCCCTTGAGCGATTGAAGGAGCTTTGCCGGATTCCACCGGGAATTATGGCGGAGGCACAAATATCCGATCCCACGGAGTCCCCAGAAAATCATCGCGACGGCTACTTCTGTGTATACGAGATCTATTTCAATGGTTGTGGATTAACCTTTCCCCTTCCCGAAGCCTTGGTTCGATATCTAGCGGTTCTTGAAATCGCTCTTCCTCAATTAACCCCCAATCTTCTTCGAACCATTCTCGGAATTATAACAGTTGCGGCGGAGGCCGGATATATTATCGGAGTCGCCGAGCTGAACGAACTTCTAAGCGTGAGAAGTTCGTCGAAGAAAACGGGGTATTTCTCAGCGTACCCAAACGCCAACAGAAACATCATCTCACACCTTCCGAACAAGGATGAAAATTGGCACCATCCTTGGTTTCTGATTAAGAAAACTCCCGCCTCAATCGGAAATCTTTCAGATTTACTTCCATCGAAGTGGTCTGCAAAGCCTGGTAGAAATTAGGTCGCATATGTCTTTCCTAGTTGTTTCATTATTTTTCACTGATTAAACTCGTTGTTTCACTTCGCAGCTTTCGTCGCTCTGACTCTCCCGTCTGAAGAATTCATTGGATTCTTCAAGACAATTCTCGAAGGGGAAACCCTTTGGAATTCTTTCACTCTCGAGCGATTCATAGAAGCCAATCACAAACTCAGGATGAGTCCCCCATGTCAACTTCACCATCTTCCGCCTCCCCCCTCAACTCAGGGGTTGTCATCTCGGGCCCTTGCAGCCAAGCGCAAAGCGCTCTCCAAACCGATAACTGAGGCTTGTGATGAAAAAAAGGAGTTCCTTGCGGCCGCTATCGAAAAGAAAGACTACAGTAGGACCTTACTGGTTGATGATAATAGCGCCGAAGGAAACAGATCCGTTGCTGCCTATAGGTTGACACCTCTGATAATAGGCTTTTAAGATCAATTAATCCTAAAGCACTACCATGTCGTTGTAGTACTATAGGGTGTCAATCCAATCTAGTGTGATGTAAACAGATGAGATATGATCAGAATTTGCTAAGTCAAGCCAAACAGAGAGTTTTGGTTTTCTAACAGTCCTAATGCGAAATAACAGAAATAAAATGAAACTGGAATGCAAACTAGCAATAGCAGACAGTAGAATAACAAAGCAGGTAAGATAACAGGCAATCAAATGGATAAGAGATTCCTAAGGACAGTGTAATCGAATAGCGTGGTCTCCTTAATCTATTTAGACGGTTGACAAAACTTCACAGAAGCTATCCCTTGACAACAAGTTCAAAAGCAAATCAATTCACCACCTTGATAGAAATTCTCAAGCATAGCTAGACACAGACCTAATCACCATTAGCGATCTCTAACTAAGCAGGCAATATCAAATCAACTTGTTAAAGCCAATACCCGCTCTAAACGGCCAATACCTTGGGATAGAGACGAGTATCTCTGGAATTAGTGGATCGGACATTCCATTAAACACCTTTTGGGTGCGGGAATGTCTGGATTCATATTGCAGTTGATCAGAAAGGAACAAGCAATAAGTGCAACTAATCCAGAAGGGATTCAAACAATCTAAACTCAACCATCTAAATCGACTAAGACAACCACGACTACTCTATCCCATCCTCAGAAATACAATTCACTACTCAGACATAACCAAAAACAATAGCAATGAAACGATTGAAAACATGATAACAGGAAATGATAAAGACTGAAATGAAAACTGAATTATAAAATACTTGAAAGCGAATACAAAGTCGCAGGAAGAACACACTGCGGCTACGAAAACAAGTCTAGGTAAAAACTGAAAATAAAGACTCGATGCCCTAGGGAAAACCCTTAGAGGCTGCTTATATAAGCGAAAAAAAGTTAAATAAGGAAAGTTCGAGATAGTGGTCTTCACATCGAGACTCTGCGATCGAGCATCTGATGGGCTGAAATGGGCCTCCATGTGATCGAGTGAAACTGATCAAACTGGGCTTCAGGAACTCCGTCTTGCGATCGAGTGGTCTGTAGTGAAGACGAGATGGAATGGTCCAGCGAACCTGCGATCGAGTGGTACGATCGAGTAGATGACGTGAGGTGGTGATCGAGTGGTTTCTTCAGCTTCTCTTCTCTTTCGTATGCTCAGCTTGTTTGGTTGAGTGAAGAATGAGTAGATGGGCTTCTGATGACAAGGTGGTGATCGAGTGGTGTAGAGTGGGTGATCTCTCCGGGCTTGCGATCGAGTGAAACTAAGCTGCTGGCTTCTCCGGGGTTGTGATCGAGTGGTTTTGGCCTTCATGACAGTTTCTGGGGTTGCGATCGAGTGCTTTGCTCTGTCAGGGCTCCGAGGTTGCGATCGAGTGCTTTGGCTGAAGGAGTGATTGAGCGTTCTGAATTTGTGTTATGTTTCTCCTCTGTTTGAACTCCAAAAGCATTCAAAGTACCTGAAAACAACCAAATATGCAATGCACATGCAATCCTAATGCAAAAACATCCTAAGTATGCAAAACACACTAAAACGACTACTTATGAGATGAAATGTGATTGAAACAATGACAAAGTGATGAAGAATGAATGCTTAAATCATGCAAATTATAGACATATCAACTCCCCCAAATTTAGTCTTTGCTTGCCCTCAAGCAAACAAGAAAACATAAGCGGGCGGAGAGGTTTGAAGTTGGGGACTCAGAACCAAAACATGTGATGAAGTGATTAAGCTCAATGTCCAAGTTAATAGTTCTAAGATGCGAGGTGAACGACTTCTACTTAAAAATTTTAGCCATGCTCTGTTAAGATCCAAACCTACACTCAATTGCATAATGCGTCAAAATCAACCAATCCCTTTAACATTCATTAAGTTCAAAAACATGAATCAAGCTGTGCAACGTTAGTGAACTCGTTTGGCTAAGGACAGGTTATGAGACAAAGATGGTCCCTTTAAGGTGGTTCAGATTTTAATAAAAGGGGACTCTCAATAAGAATAGACTGAGCTTTAGAAGAATGTTAAAGGTAAGTGCCAACCTATGCATACAAGAATAGCACCCCATCTACCCAATGACATAAACTGTGAATAACAAGTAGATGGTCCTATTTCTAAACCCATTGATGATCCTAAGTCTACCCTTTTGCACTAAAGGCATATTTCGATTTTTTTTTCTGGATCAATCTGTCTTTTCTTTTCTTTGGCTCTTGTTCTTAAGGAGAAACTTTCTTATACTCTATGAGTCTAGTCTAGTGAATTGGTTTTTCTTAAACTCTTATGGCTCTTATAATCTTTTCTGTTTTTGTTGCCATCTTTTTTTTTTTTTTAGAGCATAACTTAACAATTCTGTACTTCCCAAACATTCACTAGACCTGAATATGATTTTCAGCTTCCTTCTCCTAAAGACTCTAATCCGTTTTTTTTTTCTTTTCACACTCAATCTCAATCCCCAAATAAGTTCCCACCTAGTCCTACCAAGTCCGAAAACGCGGATTGGAACTACATGAAATACTACTCTTGTCGGCTCAAACCTAACACGTTCTACCAAGCTCAATCCTGAAATAGGCCTCACATGCTCTCACAAATAACATGGCTTGAAAGAAGGGTTGGTTAAGGGTGGGGAAACTACTCCAATAACAGAAGCAGCTACTTGGATTAACAAGAGTGGTGAATAAGAGAAAGAAAATCCAAGTATGTATTCTATCCACGAGTTCAAAACCGATGCAAACATGATAATTATAAGTCAGATTCAAGTTCAAATTGACAGGGAAAGGTTTCATGACATGAGATCGAGTGGTTTCTATAGAACATGGTGCGGTTTTACTTCAAAGTCATTCAAATGCATAAGACAACTAGTAACGAGGGCATTGAGTTTATTCAGTAAATCAACATGCTTACAAGGTTATTTCCTCATTATCCCCTATGCATATGCAACAATCCTAAATGAAACACTCTAGACTCGATCCTAAATGCAATGCAACTATATGAACACTCTGTTTTTGTGGAATACATTTTCAGAAATTTTCAAATTTTTTTGTTTTTTTTTCTATGTTTTAGATGATATGCAGACTCAAATGATATTCACAAAAAACAAGTCAAATACATCATGAACCCTCCCCCAAACTTAAATTATACAGTCCCTTGTGTAATGAAAATTTGTGAAAGA